GGCGTTTTTACATAAGGCAATGGGTTATGGAATGTGCATATGGCTTACTTAGATTGCCGTATAGTGTGCATGTTTCACAAACCTCTCCAGAGACAATAAGGCCCCTATATTGAAGATGCATATGCGTTGTCACAGATTCACAAGGGAAAACAACCAATAAGAGTGCGCAACGCACGTCAACAATGCTGCCTTGAAGCCATGGCCCATGATGTGCCACCATAGCCTGTCTCGACGAGAATTGACGCACATTCCTTCTTGACCTTTTCAAGATGAGGGGTGGGGGTGCCGCATGCGATGGGCGGGAGTGGAGGAGGGTGGAAGAGGGTGGGATGGATAGAATGGGGCTGCTAAGAATGCAATGAAGAATACAAAGCGTTGCAGGAGGATATCGAACATGGGAATTAGTGCGCCTGTGTTTGAACATGTGTGAGGAGGATGCGTATGTGTGTGTGTGCACGTGTGTGTGTGTGCGTGTGTGTGTGTGTGTGTACACGTGTGTGTGTGTGTGCATGTCTTTGTGTTTGCATGTCTGCGTATGCATGTCTGTGCTTGTGCATGTTTGTCAGTGCATGTCTGTGTGTGTGCATATCTGTGTGTGTGCATATCTCTGTGTGTGCTGACTCCTCACATGCATACTAACTCCTCACACACGTGCTGACTCCTCACACATGTGCTGACTCCTTACACACACGTTAGGGCATGGTGTCAAAGGCACTCCGCCATGAATGTGACGATGTTGCATTAGTGAAGGCAATAGGGACGGGGAGGGGATTGATGAATATCGAAAGGCGAGCATCGGGAGAGAGGGGAATAGGAGAGCAACAACTAGGAGAGACGAGGAGGCAGGTGAATGATGAAGGGGGAGGTGAGGGAGAGAGGCGGGACAAAGTGATAACAGGGGGACGCAGAGCAAAGGGAGCGGCGGGAAGGTCTGTCTGCTATGATGGAGACAAGGCGGCCCACTAGGAGTGGGGACTGAACGACAAACCTGGGATGGGATGACATGGTGGATGGAAGATGACAAGCTGGTGAGAGGAAGGAAATCACAGGGAGGAAGGACACACGTGTGATGCGGACCAGAATCCTCCTTAGGACCACCGAATATTTGCATGGACAGGCCAATGCCCTGCAGCAGGGACCAGGCGAGCTAGTTGTATGTAGAGGAAAGGTAGCGGGGCAAGGCAGTGGGGCAAGGCACTCCGGCAAGGCACTGTTATGAGGGTACGACCTCGTTCCATTTCTTTATGTTTTATGTATCTCTTCCTCATCTGATTATCGTTAGTATTCATCTCGTCTTATTTGGTTTTCTATTCTCCATTTCTAATGATCCTTCATCTCATCCTTGTATTACAATTCTATCACGAAATAGGATCAAGATGTATTGGCTTACGCTATCTAGTGTAATACTGTCATAATCCCTGAAAGCCAATAGCCTCGTGTGACTATATGCAGGGTGATTATATATTCTTCAAGTGTCTATTTCCTACAGATAGGATAAACCTGGTTACCTGATGTTCATTGTAAGTATCAAAGCACCCTGAATCGATCAATAGTGCAACTTTTCCTCGACACAATTTGATATGGTGGCAAGTAGGGCAAGTCAGTGCGGCAAGGCAGTGGGGCAAGGGAGTCGAGGAAGGCAGTGGAACAAGGCAGTGCGGCAAGGCAGTGGGGCAAGGCGGTAGGGCAAAGCAGTGGGGCAAGACACTAGGGCAAGGCAGTGGGGCAAGGCCAAGGGGCAAGGTATTGTGTCAAGAAATGCGGCAAGGAAGTGGGGCAAGGCAGTGTGGCAAGGAAGTACGACAAGGACGTGGGTCTAGGTAGTGGGGCAACGTAGTGTGGCAAGGAAGTGCGACAAGGCAATGGGATAAGGCAGTGTGGGAAGGCAGTGCAAGAATGCAGTGGGGCAAGGCAGTTGGGGAAGGCACCGGGGCAAGGCAGTAGGGCAAGGCGGTGGGGCAAAGTAGTGTGGACACAATTTGATCCGGTGGCAAGTAGGGCTAGGCGGTGTAGCAAGGCAGTGGGGCAAGGCGGTGCGGCAATGTAGTGAAGCAAGGCAGTGGAGCAAGGCAGTGGGGCAAGGCAGTCCGGCAAGGCAATGGGGTAAGGTAGTGGGGCAAGGCAGTGCGACAAGTCAGTGGGACAAGGCAGTTTGACAAGGCACAGGATCGAATGTGTCGAGGAAAAGTTGCACTATTGATTGATACAAGGCGCTTTAATACTCCCAGAGTACATCAGGTAACCAGGTTTATCCTATCCAAAAGGGAATAGACCCTTATAGAAATAGAATCACTCTGCATATAGCCACGCGAGGCTATTGGCTTTAAGGGATTACGGCATGGTTACGCTAGATATAGCTCACCAGTACATCCCGAGTATGGTCGGTGATATAATCATAATAATAGGATAAACCAAAGGACAATGGAATAGGAAACCAGATGAGACGAGATAAAGACCAAATGAATCACAAGTGAGAGAAGAATGAAATAGAAAGGAATTATGGAAAGATAAGAAGTGTAACGGGGTCGTACTCTCACACTTCCCCCACTCAAAGCTAGGTGGTAGAAGTAACACCCTGCTTGACAAGGTAGTCGCGAAGAGGACGACGAGTATTACTCATCGCAGATTCAGGAACCCAAGTATCCTCAGAAGGATCATAACCCTTCCAACGAATGAGAAGCTCCACGGCGCCATTCCGACGACGACAGTGTGCGAGCACGGACTCGACCTCGTACTCGGGTTCATCGTGGACGAGGACGGGCGGCGGCGGCGGGGGTTGGCGTCCGGTGAAGACTGTGTTAGGATCTCAATAGGGCTTCAGAAGTTGGACATGGAAGGCATTGTGAATCTTCCAGGTAGCTGGTAGGCGCAAGCAGAAGGTAACAGGAGTGACCTGTGCTTCGACGAGAAAGGGCCCGCACAAGCGAGATTGCAGTTTGGATGGAAGATGACCGATATCGAGATTGCGGGTGTCGAGGAGAACCTAGTCTCCTATGGTGATGGTATGGGCGGTGCAGTGGTGATCGACATGGCGCTTCTGTTGCTGTTGAATGTCGAGGAGGCGCTTGTGGGTCCAATCCCAAAGTTGGTGCATGGTCGTAATGAAGTCGTGTGCGGGTTGAACTGTGGCTGATACTGTCGGTTTTTGTGGCGTAAGCGGGTGGCGTCCGTAGAAGAGGAAAAATGGCGTCTGTCCAGTAGCGGCATGAGTGGCGTTGTTGTAGGCAAACTCCAAGACAGGGAGATGTAAGTCCCATTTAGAGATTTCGTCATCGCATGCCGTGCAGAGGAATTGCTCTATAATCTGGTTGAAGCGCTCGGTCTGTCCATCGGTCTGCGGATGGTATGCGGATGACATGGCAAGTTTGGTCCCGAGCAAAGACATCAGTTCCTTCCAGAACTTGCCCGTCAACTTGGGGTCTCGGTCGGAGATGAGTGTGGTTGGATTGCCATGTTGTGAGATGATGTAGCGAACGAATAGTTGTGCTGTCTCTTCGGTGCAAACTGTCGTGTATGTCAGGATGAAGTGTCCCATTTTGGAGAATTTGTCAATGACGACAAGGATTGCGTCATGACCGCTTGCGGTAGTTAGTAACCCGGTGATGAAATCCAAGCTAACCACTCGCCATGGCTGTTCTGGGACATGAAGAGGCTGTAGTAGTCCTGCCTTTTTCTGCTTGCTGCTCTTCATGCGCTGGCATATAGCACACGAGGTGACAAATTTCTGGACGTCGTCCGCCATGTGGGGCCAATAGTAGTGCTTTGCAATACCGGTGAGCGTCTTGTTGCTACCAAAATGTCCTGCGTATAGGACATCGTGGTATTCTTCGAGTAGTAACTGGCGCAAAGGAGGGTAATTGGGTACCCAGATTTTTGTGGATCCTTTCCGGTATGCGATGCCACTGTCCCACTGGAGCATGTGTCGTTTTACTGCCAAAAGAATTTCGGGGTCGATGGCATACCCGTGTGTGAAGAGTCCCTTGAGTAGTGGATTCATCCCTTCAACCAGGATTGCGGCAACGTGTGCAGGTCGACTGAGAGCGTCTGCTTTGTTTTTGTGGCCAGGCTTGTACACGATGTTGTAATAGAAGTATGTCTCGAGGAAGTCAATCCACCAGACCTGCCGCCTGGAAAGGGTTGGTTGTGTCTTCAAATATTTCAGGCAGCAGTTGTCAGTGTAGACGGTTGTTTTTCGTCCTTTGAGATAACATCTCCACGTTTTGAAGGCGATGATAATAGTGAGGGTCTCCTTGTCGTGTATCGGGTAGTTTAGTTCTACCCCGTGTAGTTTCTTGTTGAGGTAGGCGATTGGTTGCAGTCCATTCCCTTGGTTTTGCATCAAGACTGCTCCCACTGCCTGGTCGCTGGCGTCAGCTTCGATGACGTAGTCACGTTCGGGGTCTGGCAAGGTGAGCACGAGTGCGGACGTGAGTGCCTGTTTCAGCTGCTCCACGGCTTCCTGATGTTCTGGTTCCCACTTATAGGGTGTGTTCTTCTTCAGCAGATTCATGAACGGTGTTGCGATTTTCGCGTACTGTGGCACGAACCTGTTGTAATAGTTAGTGAAGCCTAGGAAAGCCTAGTTAGTTAGTTCTCGGGAGTCTTCCACGTGCGTACGGCTTCGATCTTCTTGGGGTCGACGTGAACTCCTTGAGTGCTCACCATGTGTCATAGGAATTGGACTTTCTCGAGGGCGAATTCGCTCTTGGATAGCGTGACATAGAATCGTTCTCGTCGAAGAATGTTGAAGACGCGCCGCAGGTGTTGGACGTGTTGCTGCATGTCGCGCGAGTAGATGAGGATGTCGTCCAGGTACACCACCACGCATTCGTCCAAGAGTGGGCATAGAATATGGTTCATTTCCGGTTGGAACGTTGCCGGTGCGTTGGTGAGTCCGAACGGCATTACCAGAAAAACGCGGAGCTGGTGCTTACTAGAATCGGCGCAGAATGAGTCGCCCCCGGCGGTTTTTCGAAGCAGGTTTTCCTGCTGCTCCTGCTTAGCTGAGCGCGGCTGAGTGAGAAAAGCTCTGATTACCAAGTGTCACAGGATCAAATGTGTCGAGGAAAATTTGCACTATCGATTGATACAAGGCGCTTTTATACTCCCAGAGTACATCAGGTAACCAGGTTTATCCTATCCAAAGGGAATAGACCCTTCTAGAAATAGAATCACCCTGCGTATAGCCATGCGAGGCTATTGGCTTTAAGGGATTACAGCAAGATTACGCTAGATATAGCGCGCCAGTACATCCCGAGCCTAGTCGGTAATAAAATCATAATTATAGGATAAACCAAAGGATAATGAAATAGGAAACCAGATGAGATGAGATAAAGACCAAATGAATCAGAAGTGAGAGAAGAATGAGGTAGAAAGGAATTATGGAAAGAGAAGGATTGTAACGAGGTCGTACTCTCACAACACGGGCAAGGCAGTGGTGCAAGGCAGAGCGCCAGGGCAGTGGGGCAAGGCAGTGCGGCAAGGCAATGGGGCAAGGCAATGGGGCAAGGCAGTGCGGCAAAGCAATGGGAAAAGGTAGTGTGGCAAGCAATGGGGCTGTGAGAGTACGACCCCGTTAGACTAATTCCTCATTTCCACCTTTCTCCTCTATCTCATTCTCCTTTACCCCGTGACTCATTTGGTCTTTATCTCATCTCATTTGGATTCCTATTCCTCGTTTTCCATTATCCTTTGGTTTATCATGTTATTATAATTATATCACTGACCAGGCTCGGGATTTACTAGCGCGCTATATCTAGCCTAATCCTGCCGTAATCCCTTAAAGCTAATAGCCTCGCGTGGCTATACGCATGGTGATTCTATTTCTAGAAGGGTCTATTCCTTTTGGATTGGATAAACCTGGTTACCTGATGTAACTTGGAAGTATAAAAGTGCCTTGTATCAATCGATAGTGCAACTTTTCCTCGACACATTCGATCCTGTAACACTTGGTACTCAGGGTTTTTCTCACTCGCCGCACTTAGCTAAGCAGCAGCCTCCAAACCTGCCTCGAAAAACCTACCTCGAAAAACCGCCAGAGGCAACTAATTCAGCGCCGATTCTGGTAAGCTCCAGGTCTGCGTTTTCTTAATTAACGCCTCCGCGTGTGTTTTGAACAGGATGGCGAACTTCGACAACGCCGAGGTTACCCAGCAGCTCTTCGCGTGCATCGCCGCCCTACTGGAGAAGGTGCGAGCCGACTGTGAAGCTTGGCGAAATGAGTTCGAGCGAGTAACTCGACTCGCCGATGCGCAACACGAATTGATAATGAGGAAGACCCAACAGTCGCAGCAATTTCTCGAGGCTCTGAAACCGCGCCCACCTGAGCCGTTCGATCCGAGTGATCGAAATTCAGACGTCCGCAGATGGATCGCCGGCATGGAGATCTACTTTGCAAACGTCGGATGGAGCTCGCCAGTCTGCGACGGTCAACGCGTATGACTCGCGGTGATACTGATGCGAGGGCTAGCACTCGAGTGGATTGGTGGCAACGGTACCTTCATCCTCGGCGAAGCCACGTGGCAGCAGTTCTTCACCGACCTGTTGAAACGTTTTGAGCCGATATATTCCGGTTTCCTTGTCCGGGAAAAAAATCATCGCCATTGACAGCTCGGGAGTGTAGCACAGTACACGCAGCAGATGGAAGAATTTTATAACCGCATTCCTGACCTGACCAAAGGGCAAAAGGTACAGTCTTACCTTGCCGGGCTGAAGACCGAGGTCAAACGACAAGTGGAATCGACAAACTGCGCGAGCTACAGTGACGTCGTATCGGCCGCGGAACGCTTCGACATGGTCAACGCCGGGACACGACGGGCACATGTCGGCAGTACGCGACAGGGCGACCTCTCGGCTCACCCCACGTTCGCCGACCCGATGGTAGTCGACAGGATCGAAGGGCGGTCACGTGCGAAAAACACCAACTTTACAGGTGATTTTTGTGGGGTGCTGGGCCATCAAATCTTCTACTTCAACAAAATGAAAGCCACACGTGTAGAGTATCTGGCACGCAACAATGGCGGATTTTTTTCGGCCAATCAGAAGACAAAAAATGGGAATCGCCAGTGCTTGCAGATCTAGCTGGCGAAAAAAAAAAAAAAAAAAAAAAAAAAAAAAGATCCGAAAACGGCTGCGGGATTCCGGAAAAATTAGCTTGGACGCGAGCAGCAGGAAATGATTGGGGACAATCTCCACCCCACGACCAGTCTTCGCCAGGGAAAATCGTCTAGAAGAAATCCGGCTCCGCGAAAAAAAGACTCTATGGAGATGAGGAAACTCGTAGAAGACCTAAGAAATTATAAGAATTCGTTAAACTTATCTTATTAGGATGCTTGTATGAAAACTTATGATTCTCGAGAGGCTAGAGCCTTGGAGAAATTCCGGGAGGGACTCCAGAAGAAGCAGAAAATTGTCGAGATCAATTAGGTAAATTGCACCGCAAGCATCTACAACAACGAAAGGAGAGTCCAGCTACCCAACAGGGACGATACAGGAGATATCCCATTGGAGACAATCGCAACGTTGGAGAAGGATGTGAAACAAACCGACACCGGGTTCCTGGCGATAGCAACAGATGCAGAAGATGACATAGAGAAAACCTCTGGACCTCCAAAAAAAAAAAACAAGGACTTACTGAAGGAGTTCCAAGACATTCCTCCGACGACCTTCCGAACGAGCTACTACCATACCGAACGCACCAACACGAGATCGTGGAGAAACCAGGTTCGAAGCCGACCTTCCGAGCACCATATCAGCTCAGCCCCACAGAGCTAGTCAACATGAAGAAACAAATTGAGTATCTCCTCGCCAAAGGACTCATACGGTGCCCCAATACTCTTCACACCGAAATAGGACAGAAGCCTGCGCATGTGCATTGATTACCAAGCTCTCAACAAGCAGACCATCAAGAACAAATACCCGATTCCACGAATCGATGAACTGCTTGACCAGCTTTGGGGAGCGACGGTATTTTCCAAACCAGATCTGCGGTCCGGATACTGGCAGATAAGAATGGCGGGGTGGTATACCTGGATGACATCCTCATCTACTCGCGCGACATGCAGGAGCACCTCGAACACCTGCGACGCGTCTTCGACATTCTTCGACAAGAACGATTCTACGTCAAATAATCCAAGAGCGAATTCCCCCTTCAGAAAGTCCAATTCCTTGGACACATGCTGAGCGCTGAAGGTACGCACGTGGAAGACACCCGAGAACGTGAAGGAGTTGCAGCAGTTCCTAGCCTATGCTAACAATTATAACAGGTTCGTGCCACAGTACACAAAAATCGCAACACCACTCACAAATATGCTGAAGAAGAACACACCCTATAAGTGGGAACAAGAACATCGGGAAGCCGTGGAGCAGCTGAAACAAGCACTCACGTCCGCACCCGTACTCATGTTGCCAGACCCCAAACACGACTACATCATTGAAGCTGACCCTAACGACCAGGCAATGGGAGCAGTCTTGATGCAAGACCGGGGAAATGGACTGCAACCAATCGCCTATCTCAGCAAGAAACTACACGGGGCTGAACTAAACTACCTGATACACGACAAGGAGACCCTCACTATTATCATCGCCTTCAAAACGTGGAGATGTTATCTCAAAGGAGAAAAAATAACCGTCTAGACCGACCACTGCAGCCTGAAATATTTGAAGACACAACCAAACGTCTCCAGCGGCAGGTCCAGTGGATTGACTTCCTTGAGACGCACTTCCACTATGATATCGTTTACAAGCCTGGCCACAAAAAACAAAGGAGACGCTCTTAGCTGGCCTGCACACGTTGCCACTATCCAGGTCTAAGGGAAGAACCCACTAATCAAGAGAATTTTCACACACGGATACGCCATTGACCCCGAAATTCTCTTGGCAGAAAAGTGACACCTGCTACAGTGGGACAGTGATATCGCGTACCGGAAAGGATCAACGAAAACCTGGGTACCCAATTACCCTCCTTTCCACCAGTTACTTCTCAAAGAATACAACGATGTCCTTTACGCGGGACACTTCGGTAGCAACAAGACGCTCACCTGTATTGCAAAGCACTTCTAGGCCCCATATGGCAGACGGCGTATAGAAATTCGTCACCTCGTGCGATACATGTCAGGGGATGAAGATAAAAAAGCCGAAAAAGGCAGGACTGCTATAGCCTCTTCCTGTCCCAGAACAACCATGGCAAGTGGTGAGCTTGGACTTCATCAGCAGGTTACCAACTACCACAAGCGTTCATGACAGAATCCTCGTCATTGACAAATTCTCCAAAATGGGACACTTCATCCCGACAGTACGCACCGAGGAGACAGCACAACTATTTGTTCGTTACATCATCTCCCAGCACGGCATTCCAACCACACTCATCTCTGACTGAGACCCCAAGTTGACGAGCAAGTTCTGGAAGGAACTAATGTCTCTTCTCGGGACCAAACTCGCCATGTCATCCGCCTACCATCCGCAAACAGACAGACAGACCGGGCGTCTCAACCAAATTGTAGAACAACTTCTCTGCGCAACATGCAAGGACGAGATCTCTAAGTGGGGCTTGCATCTACCCATCCAGGAGTTTGTCTGCAACAACGCCACTCATGCCGCTACTAGACAGATGTTGTTCTACTTCTGTTACGGACGCAACCCGCTCATGCCACAGAAACCAACAGTACCAGCCACAGTCCAACCCGCACATGACTTCCTCAGGACCATGCACCAGCTTTGGGATCGGACCCACAAGCACCTCCTCGACATTCAGCAGCAACAGAAGTGCCAAGCCGATCGCCATCACAACGACCACACCATCACCGTGGGAGACCAGGTGCTACTCGACATCCGCAATCTCGACATCGGTCATCTCCCATCCAAACTGCGACCTCGATTCTACGGACCCTTTCTCGTTGAAGTATAGGTCACTCCTGTTACCTTCCGCTTATGCCTGCCAACTATCTCGAAGATCCACAATGCCTTCCATGTCCAACTTTTGAAGCCCTACAGAGATCCTAACACAGTCTTCACCAGATGCCAACCGCCGTTGCTGCCGCCCGTCCTCGTCCATGATGAAACCGAGTACGAGGTCGAGTCCGTGCTTGCACACCGGCATCGTCGGAATGGCACCGTGGAGCTTCTCATCCATTGGAAGGGTTATGATCATTCGGTGGATAGCTGGGTCCCTGAATATGCGATGGGTAACGCTCGTTGTCCTCTTCGCGACTACCTTGTCAAGCAGGGTGTTACTTCTACCACCCAGCTTTGCGGGGGGGAAGTGTGAGAGTACAATACCATTGCACTTCTTCCTCATGTCTACCTTTCTCCTCGATCTTGTTCTCCTTTTTCTCCTGATTCATTTGGTCTTTATCTCATCTCATTTCGACTCCTATTCCTCATTTTCCATTATCCTTTGGTTTATCCTATTATTATAATTATATCACCGACCAGGCTTGGGATGTACTGGCGCGCAATATCTAGTGTAATCCTGTCGTAATCCCTTGAAACCCATAGCCTCGCATGGCTATACGCAGGGTGATTCTATTTCTAGAAGGGTCTATTCCCTTTGGATAGGATAAACCTGGCTACTTGATGTACCTTGGAAGTATAAAAGCGCCTTGTATCAATTGATTGTGCAACTTTTCCTCGACACATTCGATCCTGTGACAGGGGCAAGACAGTGCAGCAAGGCAATGGGGCAAGACAGTGTAGCAAGGTAGTGGGGCAAGGCAGTGGGGCAAGGTAGTGGGCCAGTGGGGCAAGGCAATGGCCATGTGGTCGTCCACACGCCTACAACTATACAACGCTAGGGGAGAGAGAAGGGAGGCGGAGGGTATGTTGGTGCAACCCTATGGCTTGCACTCGGCTTGTCGTCCTTGTTTGTGTGCATGCATGCATGGCATGGAATGAATTGTGAGTCTATATGATTGCTATCCAGTGCTTGTGTGTGTGTTTGAATGGTGTATCACAATGTGGTTTGTGTCGGTCAAGACATTAGCCAGTTTTACAAGTCGCATGTCAAGTCGTCGTTTGTGTGTCGCATGTGTTTTTTCTATGTTGTCGAGTGTGAAGTGTCCATCACGTCGCAGGTGTGTGCAGCAAGCCCCCATCAACTCAAGAAGAAATTATCTTGCAGATCCAAGACCAAGAGCTCAAGATTTCAAGCCCAAGGGACGCGGATAAATATTAAATAGTGAAAATAGTAACGCTACTTCGTGTAGTGTTACATTTCACTTGGTGTAGCCCCTTGGAGGGTTGGTTTCGAGGATCTTCGTGGTTGGGGACTCTGTGGTGGTGTACCAACAACCTGGACCTCAGCTGTTGGGGTATGTAGAGGCTGGGAACCATCTCCCTCTCGAATTCTTCTTGCTAAGTTTGTACTTTTAAGGCTATAGTGGCTGCTATACCTCCTGCCAGTCAAACCGCCATAGCGTCGTCAAATCTTCATGGAATTTCATGATTCAACTTGCTGATAATAGACGACAGCAACGCGCTTTAGATCCAATTTACAGATTACCGTTTAGATCAAAGAGCAGATCGTTATCAATATTTGAAGCCGTCAGACGGAAATCCGACTGTGCTCTCTATCTCTCATTATAGGCACATCTGAGCCTATTGTGATTATAACAAGTGGTATCAGAGCCCCTTGGAGCCGTCTCGACCATGCCTAGACCTGAGGAAGGGGGTGGCAGAGGTGCTGGAGGCAGAGAGGACGCCCAAGCACAAGGTCAACACCAAGACCCACCCGTTACTCCGGTGCAACCTAGCCTTGGACCCTCTAGGGATGAGCCTAGAGTGTTTGGCCTTGACAAGTTCAACAGTGACAACTTTGCTGAGTGGTCCTTCAAGATGGAGAACATCTTTGAACACTATGATGTACTAGAGGTGATGGAAAGAACGGAGAAGCGCCCCGAGAACGACCCGGAGAAGAGCCCGTGGGTGCGGAAGAGTGCACAAGGCTACCTTCTACTTGGGCAAGCGTTGGGGAGCAGCCAAATCCGTCACATCAAGCCTTTTCAGCGTGAAACAGCAAAGGGACCAAAGGCATGGGCTGCTCTCAAGGGTGTACACGCTCCTGCAACAGCGGCGGTGGCTGTGGTTTTGGAGCGGCAAATGGCGGCACTTCGAATTGACGAAGGCGAACCAGTGGAGGAAGGAGTGCAGAAATTCTTCGACTTGTTGACACGGCTCGAAGGAGCTGATCTGAACTACAGTGACCTTCAAAAGAAGACCAAGCTGGCCTTACTTCCGGACTCATGGTCCTCGCTCATCATCAACCTAAATCGAGATCTGCCCCGTCTCTCACTCGAAGATGTGAAGCGGGAAATCTTACAAGAAGATTTCCGCCATTGTGAATCGGCGGGTCCCGATGGTGCCGGAGTTGCAAGCATGGGCCATGGGCATGGCCGTGGAAGGGGCAGAGGGCGAGGAGGAAGATTTGGAAGCAGTAATTTCAATGGAGGCCGTGGTAATGGAGGATATGGCAGTAACAACAACAACAATGGCTACGGGGGTGGGCACGGTCGATTTGATGACGAATGCCACTTTTGCCACAAGACCGGCCACATGTGGAGAGATTGCTTCAAACTGCCTGATGGTTGGACCCCTTCTCAAGGCCAAGAGGGCAGAGGAGCAAGGGGAGGAAGAGGCAGAGGTCGTGGAGGCCGTGGTGGTCGTGGAAGCGAAGCGGCGAGCATGAAAGGTGGAGACTACGAGACGGGCCCGAGTGAAGATCGATACCCGGGCCAATTCTTCTATGTCTCCACGCAAGCGGCAGTTGCAACAGGAGGTGTGGAAGGCTTTGAGGAGCCAGCTACTGTGGGAAAGGTCACCCTTCACTCTCTGGACTTTTGGGTGATCGATAGCGGCGCCACCTATAGCATGACACCTCGTGCGGACTTGCTCACCGAACTCGAACCGTCGCCGGTCAAGCATGTTACATCGGCTTTGGGGCAGCGAGTAGAGGTGAAAGGCATGGGCAAGGCCATGTTCAAGGGTGCTGATGGGAAGATGGTGGGCCTCAAGAACGTGCTTTGGGTGCCCAACCTTGCAGCCA